ATTTTCTCTTCAGGATATGGGGAGTTACACCTTGCTGTCACCTCCTCCACTAATCTTCCTGTCTCCCCCTTCCTTTTCCTATACCGTATAGTCGGATATAAGCGATGAGCTAATTTACTGCAGGCGATATAATGTACTGAAGATAATAGAGGGAAAGAATAGCGTCTGAGGCAGTTGATTATAAGGCATTCAATTTTCTCCATAACCTAACTCTATTTACACATACGAGTCGAGGAGAACCAGAAGGGAAAACACGATTATTTTTGTTCGGGTACGACTGATTTCCACCACCCGTTCGATTATTTTGTGTGCTTTTTTTTTCTTTATACCTTAGTACAAATATTGTGTGGGCTGCAATTTATCGTGAATTAATTTAAGAAGAATACAATCCAACTCCGACCGTCTTAAGGCAGTCATGGGTTGACCAGTAGTCATGGGCACAAGGGAAGTCATGGGCAGGATGAAATTAAAGGCGAAACATAAATGAACAAAGAAATGAGGAATTCCTATAAAACGTCAATGATGATTACAACAGTATGTCTTAAAACATCCAGAGTTCACAATCAGGAACCGAATTGTGAAGGTACCAGAATATATAACTCGGCGTCGAATCCTCTTAAGAAACTATCAGAACACTTAAGTAGAATCCAAAACTCAATAACATGAGTCATCAGAGTTTATAGTACATTGATTCCGACCGAGGGAAGGCGTTGATTTCACCAATATTGCAATTATCAATATTTAAATTATTACGTCAATGGGAATTCAATTGAATTGAGTATTATTTCAATTATTGTTATGTTTAATCGAGTTTCTTATTGCTTCATACACTCTTAGTATCTATTATGATTTATTCTAGGTTAAGTCAAAGTCATAGAGTTTAGTAATACTTGGAAGTTTAATGATCACTTTGTGTTTGATATTAATTTGTGTAAAGTGAACAAGAAGGGAAGGATTTTCACTTAAGCCGTCGGCTTACTATGAAGTATTCGGGAGGGATTAACTGAGTCTGCCGGTGAAGGAAATGAACCATGCCTAGAAGTTACCAGTATATTCAAGAGAACAAGGAGAGAGAGAGAGAGGGGGATTTCAATGACGAATTAAAAAAATAACAACCCTGCAAATATAACATATACCTGTATATAAAAAACAAGGAAGGTAAATTAAATATACAAGTAAAATGACAAAAAGAGAGATAAAATATTCTTTATGTATAGAGAGTGAGAGCGCCTCGGATAAAAAGCTAAACAGAGCCCTAGAAAGATAAAACATAATGACTGACAACGTATACTTAAAAGCAAGTTGAGAGGCTCTTTTTTCACTCATATTCCTAAGGCTGTTAACCCTACCACAATACCTCCTACCCCACATTCTTCGTCCCCACACTCTCCATCCAGTTCGTCCCCACACTCTCCATCCAGCTTGTCCCCACACTCTCCATCCAGCTTGTCCCCGCACTCTCCATTCAGCTCGTCCCCACACTCTCCATCCAGCTCGTCCCCACACTCTCCTTCAGCTCCCCACACTCTCCATCCCAGCTCGTGCCCACACTCCCATCCAGCTAGTCCCCACTCTCCATCCAGCTCGTGCCACACTCTCCATTCAGCTCGTCCCCACACTCTCCATCCAGCTCGTCCCCACACTCTCCCATTCAGCGTCACACCTCTCCTCCAGCTTGTCCCCACACTCTCCCTCCAGTTCGTCCCCACACTCTCCGTCCCCACACTCTCCATCCAGCTCCCCACACACTCCATTGAGCTCGTCCCCACTCTCCATCCAGCTCGTCCCCACACTCTCCATCCAGCTCGTCTCCTCTCCATCCAGTTGGTCCCCACACTCTCCATTCAGCTCATCCCCACACTCTCCATCCAGTTCGTCCCCCACACTCTCCATCCAGCTCGTCCCACCTTCAGCTCGTCCCCACACTCTCCATCAGCTTGTCCCACATTCTCCCTCAGCTCGTCCACACTCTCCGTCCCCTCTCCATCCAGCTCGTCCCCACACTCTCCACTCAGCTCGTCCCCACACTCTCCATTCCTTTACACTCTCCATCCATCTCGTCCACACACTCTCCCATCCAGCTCGTCCCCACACTCCATCCAGCTCGTCCCACACTCTCCATCCAGCTCGTCCCCACACTCTCCCTCAGCTCGTCACCACACTCTCCATCCAGCTCGTCCACACTCTCCATCCAGCTCGTCCCCACTCTCCATCCAGCTCGTCCCCCACACTCTCCACTCCGCCTGCTCTCCATCCAGCTCGTCCACACTCTCCATCCAGCTCGTCCCCACACTCTCCATCCAGCTCGTCCCCACACTCTCCATCCAGCGTCCCCACACTCTCCATCAGCTCGTCCCACCTCCCTCAGCTCGTCCCCACACTCTCCATCCAGCCGTCCCCACACTCTCCATCAGCTCGTCCCCACACTCTCCATCAGCTCGTCCACTCTCCATCCAGCTCGTCCACACACTCTCCACTGGCTTGTCCCCACACTCTCCACTCAGCTCGTCCCCACACTCCCATCCAGCTCGTCCCCCACCTCTCCACTCAGCTCGTCCCCACACTCTCCATCAGCTCGTCCACACACTCCATCCAGCTCGTCCCCACACTCTCCATCAGCTCGTCCCCACTCCATCCAGATCGTCCACTCTCCATCCATCTCGTCCCCACACTCTCCATCCAGCTCGTCCACACTCTCCACTGAGCTTGTCCCCCACACTCTCCACTCAGCTCGTCCCCACCTCTCCATCCAGCGTGCCATCCATCCCACTCTCCATCCAGCTCGTCCCCACACTCTCCATCCAGCTCGTCCCCACACTCTCCATCCAGCCTCGTCCCCACACCCTCTCCGCCAGCTTGTCCCCATTCTCCCTCCAGCTCGTCCCCACTCTCCGTCCCCACCTCTCCATCCAGCTCGTCCCACACTCTCACTCAGCTCGTCCCCACCTCCCCATTCAGCTCGTCCCCACACTCTCCATCCATCGTCCACCTCTCCATCCACTCGTCCCTCTCCATCCAGCTCGTCCCACTCTCCATCCATCCGTCCCCACACTCTCCCTCAGCCTGTCACCACACTCTCCATCCCCCACACTCTCCATCCAGCTCGTCCCCACACTCTCCATCCAGCTCGTCCCCACACTCTCCACTCAGCTCCGTCCACCTCTCCATCAGCTCGTCCCCACTCTCCATCCAGCTCGTCCCCCACTCCCATCAGCTCGTCCCCCACACTCTCCATCAGCTCGTCCCCACACTCTCCATCCAGCTCGTCCCCACACTCTCCACTCAGCTCGTCCCCCACTCCATCCAGCTCGTCCCCACACTCTCCAGCTCATTCCCCACTCTCCATCCAGCTCGTCCACTCTCCATCAGCTCGTCCACACTCTCCCATGAGCTTGTCCCCCACTCTCCCTCAGCTCGTCCCCCCCTCTCCATCCAGCTCGTCCCACACTCTCCATCAGCTCGTCCCCACACTCTCCATCCAGCTCGTCCACACACTCTCCATCCAGCTCGTCCCACTCTCCATCCAGCTCGTCCCCATCTATCCAGATCGTCCCCACACTCTCCATCCATCTCGTCCCCACACTCTCCATCCAGGTCACTCTCCACTGGTGTCCCCACACTCTCCACTCAGCTCGTCCCCACTCTCCCATCGTCCCCACACTCTCCATCCAGCTCGTCCCCACACTCTCCATCCAGCTCGTCACACACTCTCCATCCAGCTCGTCCCCACACTCTCCATCCAGCTCGTCCCCACACTCTCCATCAGCCCGTCACACCTCTCCACCCAGCTCGTCCCCACCTCTCCATCAGCTCGTCCCCACACTCTCCATCCAGCTCGTCCACACACTCTCCATCCAGCTCGTCCCCACACTCTCCACTCAGCTCGTCGCTACACTCTCCATCAGCTCGTCCCCACACTCTCCATCCAGCTCGTCCACTCCCTCATCTCGTCCCACCTCCACTGAGCTTGTCACACTCTCCACTCAGCTTGTCCCCACTCTCCATCCAGCTCGTCCACACACTCTCCCATAGCTCGTCCCCACCTCTCCATCCAGCGTCCACACACACTCCATCCAGCTCATCCCTCTCCATCCATCTCGTCCCCACACTCTCCACTCAGCTCGTCCCACTCTCCATCCAGCTCGTCCCACACTCTCCATCCAGCTCGTCTCACACTCTCCATCCAGCTCGTCCCACTCTCCACTGAGCTTGTCCCCACTCCTCCCTCAGCTTGTCCCCATACTCTCCATCCAGCTCGTCCACACACTCTCCATCCAGCTCGTCCACCTCTCCATCAACTCGTCCCCCACACTCTCCATCCATCTCGTCCCCACACTCTCCATCCTCTCGTCCCCACACTCTCCATCCATCTCGTCCCCACATTCTCCCTCAGCTCGTCCCCACACTCTCCACTCAGCTCGTCACACCCTCCATCCAGCTCGTCCCCCACACTCTCCATCCAGCTCGTCCCCCACCTCTCCTTCTCTCCCATCAGCTCGTCCCCACCTCTCCATCCAGCTCGTCCCCATACTCTCCTCCATCCAGCTCGTCCCCACTCTCTCCATCCAGCTCGTCCCCACACTCTCCATCCAGCTCGTCCCCACTCTCCATCCATCTCGTCCACACTCTCTCCATCCAGCTCGTCCCCACTCTCTCCATCCAGCTCGTCCCCACACTCTCTCCATCCAGCTCGTCCCCACACTCTCCATCGTCCCACTCTCCATCAGCTCGTCCCCACACTCCATCCATCTCGTCCCTACACTCTCCATCCAGTCGTCCCCACTCCTCCATCAGCTCGTCCACACTCTCTCCATCAGCTCGTCCCCACACTCATCCACCAGTCCCCACTCTTATCCACTTACACATCTCTCCATCCAGCTCGTCCCCACACTCTCCATCCAGCTCGTCCCCACACTCTCTCCATCCAGCTTGTCCCTACCTCTCCATCCATCTCGTCCCTACACTCTCCATCGTCCCCCACACTCTCCATAGCTCGTCCCCACTCTCCATCCATCTCGTCCACCTCTCCATCCAGCTCGTCCCCACACTCTCAGCCAGCTCGTCCCCACACTCTCCATCCATCTCGTCCCTCTCCATCCAGCTCGTCCCATATCATCGTCTACACTCCACATCAGCTCGTCCACACTCTCCATCCAGCTCGTCCCTACATCTCCATCAGCTCGTCCCCACACTCCTCCATCCAGCTCATCCCCACACTCTCTACTCAGCTTGTCCTCACACTCTCCACTCCTCCCCATACTCTCCACTCAGCTCGTCCCTCTCCATCCAGCTCGTCCCCACACTCTCCATCAGCTCGTCCCTTTCCAGCTCGTCCCCACACTCTCCATCCATCTCTTCCACCTCTCCATCCAGCTCGTCCCCACCTCCACCCAGCTCCACACACTCTCCATCCAGCTCGTCCCCACACTCTCCATCCAGCTCGTCCCCACACTCTCCATCCAGCTCGTCCCCACACTCTCCATCCATCTCGTCCCTACACTCTCATCCAGCTCGTCCCCACTCTCCATCCAGCTCGTCGCTACACTCTCCATCCAGCTCGTCCCTACACTCTCCATCCAGCTCGTCCCCACACTCTCCATCCAGCTCGTCCCCACCTCTCCTCCAGCCCTACACTCTCCATCCAGCTCGTCCCTACACTCTCCATCCAGCTCGTCCCCACACTCTCCCCATACAGCTCGTCCCCACCTCTCCATCCAGCTCGTCCCCACACTCTCCATCCAGCTCGTCCCCACTCTCCACTCAGCTCGTCGCTACACTCCATCCAGCTCGTCCCACACTCAGCGTCCTCCACTCAGCTCGTCCCCATACTCTCCACTCAGCTCGTCCCTACACTCTCCATCCAGCTCGTCACACTCTCCACTCAGCTCGTCCCCACACTCTCCATCCATCTCGTCCCTACACTCTCCATCCAGCTCGTCCCCACACTCTCCATCCAGCTCGTCCCCACACTCTCCATCCAGCTTTCCTTATATTACGCTTCAGATCAACAATACCCCGTTATATTGGGCTATTTCCTGAGGTATGTATTCTTCAGGAGCTCTATGTGTAAATAAATTACTTCCATCCCTTATTCATACCCAAAAATGTACTATTGTCATTTCGCTTTGTTCCGGATATAAATTTATTTGGACTACCTCAAGACCAGATACCCTAGAACATTTCACCCTGTGCTAACCTAATCTAACCTAACCTAACCCAAGAGAATTTTACCCTATGCTAACCTAACCTAACCAGCCTAATCTATCCTCACCTAACTACCAAACAGTAACCTAACCTTACCCACTCAGGTAGCGTTAGGGTGTTTTATCATCCGGTGAATCATTTTTCTTGGTGTCTAATCTTCAGGTGAACCATTTATATAAGATTATTCATTCCTGTCATTGCCCGCCTTTTTATTACTAACCTGAGCTAATCTTACTTGTGGTTCTCGCTTCTCTCTGCTTTTTACCTAGTCTAGCTCCACTTTTATCAACCTAGTATCTAATCCCTTCCTGTATTCCCTAGTCTCTCTATCTATCCTACACATGACCTTTCTACCATCTCTATCTTACCTCTACTAAATGCTCTATTTTACCTAAATTCTCTTATTTTCCCCTTGTTTTCTATTTTCCCCTTACTTCCCCCATTCACTTCGGCTTTAGCACCAACAATAACTGAGTGACTTATTGCTCGACGTCATAGGTTCCTCACTCCTGTCACTTGGCCATCTGTCGACTTGGTTTTTCTCAGTAAACTTTGTTCCTGGTATCCGAATAAGCTGTAGTTTCTCAAAGGTATAATAAGTCACGTGTTCGCCACTAACAAGCTCCTGGAGGTAATTTATTCGCCTTCTTTGGACTCAGCTGATTATATGACGTTCATGCTCTCATGTTTGTGGATAGGGTGAGTGTCTGAACAATTCTCCAAAGGTATGATGCCTTGAGGCACGCATTCAGTTCATCAGCTGGAGTGCTTCGAGGAATGACAGGTAGGGTCTGGCGAAAGTCTCCAGCAATGACCATTGTAATGCCACCCATGAGCTGGTCATTTTCTCGTATGTCTTGCAAGGTCCTGTCCAATGCTTCAAATGCGAACTTGTGAGACATAGTGCATTCATCCCAGACTATGAGGCTGCATTTTTCTAAGAGTTTTGCCTTTGCCGATCCTTTTTTGATGTTGCCCACTGGATTCTCATTGTGATCGAGGTTGAGAGGCAGTTTAAAAGTTGAGTGTGCAGTACGTCCTCCTTCTAGTAGTGTTACAGCAATGCCTGAGGATGCCACAGCAAGAGCAATTTTTCCCTGATGACTTACTTTGGCCAACAGAAGGTTGATCAGGAATGTTTTTCCTGTCCCGCCAGGTGCATCGAGAAAGATCATACCTCCCTGCTCCGCTTCAATCGCTTGCAAGATCTGTTCATAAGCATTTGCTTGATCAGGCACCAGGTGAGGCTCATTTTCTTCAAGAAAATCCACCAGAATTTCAACTGAGTGGTCTGCCTCTCTGAGCAACACCCTGTTTGCAACTACTGTTCAGTCCCCAAAACTTCTTCTTCCATCAATAGTTCATTAACGGTGTATGTATGTTCCACTACAACGGTACAGCAAAGTATATTTTTTTAGCATTAAACTGTTGTTATTTTATTGTCTAATCATCACTACATATAACACCATCCATCATCACTACATATAATATCCTCTATCATCACTACATATAACACCATCCATCATCATTACATATAACACCACCCATCATCAGTACATATAACAACATCCATCATCACTACATATAACAACATCCATCATCACTACATATAACATCATCCATCATCACTACATATAACACGATCCATCATCATCACTACAGATAACACCATCCATCATCATCATTACATATAACACCATCCATCATCACTACAGATCGGTGAAGTAGTTTCCGAGATTCTCGTGCGGACACACACACACACACACAAACACACAGGCATACTTCTTATATATATATATATATATATATATATATATATATATATATATATATATA